ATGTGAGTGGAGCGTAATGCCCTGTGCGGCAGTACGGACGTATATTTAGCGGACAACGACCAAACGTGGCGGTGCGCGGCAAGCCGCTCAGGAGAACACTGCGCCTGCGGGCGTGGCCACTCATTTATCGTAAACGTTAACACTTTCAGACGTATAGGAGACGATATTTTCTTTTATGTATATATTTTTGTTGTTTGACAAAACTTTGCAGCATTCCTCATGTTCGCTTTTACTTGTTGCAGCCGGAGACGGTGCCGCAGGCCTCCATCGACATGAACAAGGTGCTCGAGGTGTCGGACGCGGAGACGGTGACGGGCAACGCCTTCTCCCTGGCCATCACCGCCGCGGACTCGGTCACCTTCGTCAAGGGCACGTGCCGGGAGGAGTGCCGCTGGTGGGGCGACGTCCTAAAGGTCTTTCCGCGAAGCAAGGTAAGGAGGTTTGATTTCTGTACTGACAAAAAGAGATACAGGTGCGAGTTTTTAGACGTTGATTGCGCAGCAGCAGTCCCTCTGCTGTTTCGCACATGTATCACCCCGCCGCCCGCCGTGCATGTGCGCGGGAAGGTAGCAACACAGATATTCTTGTCTCCCGTCATACAGTTTTTGCTTTCGCTTCTACTCTCGTTTCAGGGGGTCGCTTTCTCATTGTCGCATCCTCGCCCCAATTGGGTCGTCGTCACCTAATTTAAATACTCCCCCTCCCCCCCTTTCCCCCGAAAGTGAATGGCCAAGGGGTCGGGCGGCCGGGCCAGCCAAGGGGGGGCCCCGGTCTGGTTCGGCGAGGTTTCCGTTTCGAATGGGATGCGTCTGATGGGCCACATTAAAACGTAACGGGGAGGATTCGACTGGTCGAGGTAGGTCAGCAAATTAGCTGGATATTAAGCCGTGGCGTGGCGCGGCGTGGCGCGGCGTTCCAACGGAAGACGGGATATCTGGGTCACTTGCACACGGGACAGAAGGGCCGCCCCGCCCGGCCCCGCCCCGCCGACCTGTCCCTCTGCGGGCACAGGCCCGGCCGACCCGGCCGAGGGCCATTGCGTCGTGGTACTCGATTGACCGGATTTTAAGGTCCAGTAAGCCTGCCCCTTTTTATTTTTCTCGTGTGTTTCTTTTCCCCGCCGCCGCGAGGCCGGCGAGGCCCGGGCCGCCTGGCTTTGCGATGCATTTATAATTGCAATGCACGAGTGCAGCGGCGGCGGCGGGTGACTTTCGTTTGTAACGCACTTGGCGGTGCTTGTTGGTGCCGCTGCCGCCACTGCCCACCACTCTGCGGACGAACCCACATCTGATCCGACGCGGGATCACGCAGAAACCCTGCTGCTCTGACGACGCTGTGCACTTTCTCGTCGACTCGCCGTTGGCGGCGGTGGTGGTCGGTGGTGGTGGTGGTGGCGGCCGCGGTGGCAGTAGTATTGGTTTCCATGAGTTATGGGTATCACTCTCCAGTTTCCTGCTCCGGGCCCGGCCCGGCCCGCCCGGCCCCCGTCACGTTGGGCCGTGTCCGCGGCGATGCACCCCCCTCCCTCCCCAGGCCTCACATCACTCTGCTTCCTTCCTCACTTTGAGTCCTCGGTGCCCCAGGTTGCTGCCGCCGCCGCCACTGCAACGCTCTCGATTCCTCTCTTTTCGCGCGTTAATTCTGTCCCCGCCTGCCTTCTGCTTGCGCCTCTTTGCTGCCGGCCCTGCCCCGCCCAGCCCCGCCCCGCCACCCCCCAGCTGCCGGCTGGCTTTCCGTCCGGCAGTCTTCAAGTCGTAACTCTGCAAACGCCCCGGTCGGCCGCGGCCCGCTGCGCTCTGCGAGAGCCGCTCTGCGCTGGTCGACTGAACCGTTCGCAGAATCGCCATGGCCCCGCCGCCGGGCCGCCAGCGCTCCGCGCGCTTGCAGTTTCCATCTACCTTTGGACTCGGGTTCTCTCTGTTGTCGATCGTTTAGTACATCGTGCCCGTCGTCCACCACGGGTGCATGGGTTGAAATAATACGTGGGTGTTTTGGTTGGTGGGAGAAAAGATGCGATGAATAAACTGGACTCTGCACTCGCTAAACATTGCCTAATTGTCTCTTGTCGCAGGGCCGCCACAAGCGCACCGCCACCCTGCCCGGCGCCCTGGGCGGGCTTGGCTCCGGCTTGGGGTCGTCGACGGGGCGGTCGCAGTCGCCGGCCTCCGCCGCCCCCGCCGGTCCCCAGCCCGCCACCAAGTCGCTGTCGACGTCCGCGGCCCAGCCCGCGCCTCTCCGCGGTGAGTATACACGACGTCCGGAGGCCTCGCTGCCGAGTCCCGGATACTACAAGCAGTGCGGTAGGAGGGAGAGCCGTGCAGGTCGGCGCAGGTGCAGGCCCTGCGTCCTGCCGCTGCTGCAGGCCCGGATACGGGAGGCTCGGCCGGAGGGCCCCTAATGCTGCAGGCAGGGCTGCAGGCAGGGCTGCAGGCAGGGCTGCAGGCCTGCGGGCCTAGAATGGCCCTATAAAAAGAGCTGGTCGCGCGCTGGGCAGCGCTGAGCAGCGCGGAGTGGATGGGAATGGCCAAGCTCCTCGCCGAGCTCCTCGCGGGCCGGGCCCCGGGCCCCGGGCCTGCCGGGTAACACTGTCATTAGGACTGTCCTGCTGCGCCCCGCAGCACCGGCTGCCCCCGCCGCGCCCCGCGCGCCCCGCCCAGCAGACACGCCCCACAACTAGCGTCTAAAGTCGTACCGCTTGACGTGTAGTTATGGCGAGCTAAGTGCGTGGCGGGGCGTCGCGCGCCTTTGGCCACTCCCCCTTCGAACCCTCTCGTGTCGTTAAACGCTAAAAACTTCCGGGCAAAAGGGGTTTGAACCTGTGACTTTGTCTCCGCAGTGTCGAGCTCGGTGTCGGACGTGCGGACGAGGTTCGGCGCCTGGGACTCGGACGGGCTGGCCGGGGTGCGGCCCCTCTCGCTGCCCCTCCAGGACGCGGGCCAGGATGACGCCCGTCACGACGGCGTCGTGGACGACGACGACGATGATGACGACGACGATGACGACGACGACGTGTTCCCGACGCGCGACGTCGTGGACGCGCCCTCGCTGACGACGTCCTTTTCGACCATCACCACGCCCGCGGATGCGCGGAAAGGTAAGTCGGTTTTTACGACGTTTACCTTTTGGCCGGGGAAGCACGCCCGCCCGCCAGTGTCTGTGTGTGAGTGTCAGTGTATCTGTGTGTTTGGTTTTTATTTATCTCTTGCGTAAATGTGAGTGGAGCGTAATGCCCTGTGCGGCAGTACCGACAGAGGCTTGGCTTATCTCTTAAAGCCCACGTGTTATGACACCACGTCCCACCTCGCGGCCCACCGGGCCCGGGCCCCGCGCCCGCGGGCCCCAGCATTGGGCCCGGCTCGGCTGCCCCGCCCCGCCCCGCCCGGCCGGCCCCGCGGTGTCCACTCCTCTTCCTGGCGGATAGTAATGCCTGGATACGATAGGACAGCCGCGGCGGGTGAGAAGTGATGCCCGGGTGCCCGGCAGGGGGGGGGGAGGATGAAAGGCGGTAGTAGTTACGGCCTCCGAGGCTGCAGCCGCCAGGCAGCCGCCGCCGGTGAGAAGTGCATCGGCGGCGGCATAGGTGAGGTAACCCTTCGCCTTTGACCTTCGGGCCCGTGTGATTGTGCCTGTCCCCCTCCCCCTACCGCTACCCAGTGCACGTGCACCCTTGTAGGCACACCCCTGACGTAGTGGACACACCTGCCAGCTTGCCCCGCCCCCGCCACGCCCATAGGCACACCCCCTGTAGCGCGCCCACCTCCTGCTTGCAGTGCCGCTGCCGCCCAGCCAGGTGCACACCCCGGTGTACCGGGACCAGCCCGCCTCGTCGGGGTCGCCGCCCACCCGGGACAAGATCGCCAGCGAGGACAAGAACAGGACGCGGCGAGTGCAGAGCCGCGACAAGCGGGAGCGAGCGGAGCGCGGGCTCAAGGCGGGCCGCAGCTTTTCAGAGGACTTCGCCAGCATCCTGCCGTCGTGGCGCGAGGCCAAGCTGTCGCCGGACAGCAGAGGTAAGTGCGGCCGCCCCCGGGCCGCCCGCCCCCAGCTGCTGCAGCCCCCGCCCCCGTCGCTTACTAGTGCACCCCGCACCAACACGCCCGCTCACCTCAACCATCAACCGACGCTTTCCCACAAACCGTATCTTTTGGAAAAGGAAATTCTATTTACTTTGACGAAAATTTCGTGGGAGAAATTAGAGTCAAATTTTCTGTTCAGATGACAAAAAGCTGTATTTTTAAAAATTCGTAAGTTTTGTCAAATTGAACAAATTTTGTTTGAGCTCTGAAGGTAATTTTCCTTCATTTCAACGAAAATTTCGTCAAAGTCACGATTTTGTTCCTTCAAAGAAACGGTTTTACTGAGTGCACCTTTCCTGACGACCACCGTGTCCCTCTCTGCTTGTCCTCCCCCAGACGAGAAGGAGGAGGCGGCGCGCCGCGTGCTCTTCAGGGAGATCGCCAACGAGTGCAAGCGCGGCGAGAAGCTCAAGGACATCGCGGCCTCCATCACCAGGACGAGGAGCAGCAGGACGTCGTGCGGGCGGACGGGAACGCAGGCCGCCTCGCAGCTGCAGCCCACGAGGGACGGCGATGGCGGCAAGCAGGTAAGGGTCTGGTGCGAGCACCATTTGTGCGCCTCAACCACGCGAGCTCATTGGCTGACTGAGACAGGTCACCGTTGACCAGTCAGAATTCGGGAGCCGCAGCCGCAAGCGTGTTGTCCCTGTTCACGTTTCGGTTTTTGTCTCAGTGGTATACCCTATTACACACTACCACCTGTACCGAAACTACACTACTAACTGGATTTGAATCTAAAGTTATGTTTTAAATCACTTAAAGCTCTTACTTCCTGCGGGGCGGGACTGGCGTCCGGCGCTGCTCGCTCGGCCATCAGTGGACGCGCGAGCAGCGCGGAGCCGCTCCTGCCCCCAGCCGTTTGACGCTTTGCCAAACAACGCGGTTTCGCTCCTGCGTCCCGCGCGCGCGCGCGTGTGTGTGTGTGTGTGTTTGGCCCGCAGCACCGGCCACGCCCAGCCGAGCGAGCCACAAGTTTTAATCGGCTATTCGCCTGGGCTGTCGCCGTGCCGCGCCCGGGGCGTGCGTCCTGGCGCGGCAGTCACGCCCGACTAGGCGAACACGGAGTGAAGTGTGCGGACTCGCTCGCCCCCCGAGCCCCCCCGTGCTCAGCTCATGCTCTGTTGCCGCAGGTGCGCGGTGATCCGGACGGTTGCGGCCTGGACGTGTCGACGCAGCGCTACTCGCCGAGCTCCGAGCTGCGCGTCGACCTGCCGGCCGAGGACCTGCTCAACATCAAGAAGGGCTGGCTCATGAAGCAAGGCGCCAGCAAGGTGGGTACCAGCCAGCGAGAGGACGCGGAAAGTTGGGTTTCCATTTAGGGATTCGGAACTTTGACCATGAAACGGGCCAAATTGAATTATATGTAACGATTTCGCAGAATTAGACATTTGAAGTTTAGTAGTCAAAATGTGTGACATGTGATGAGTGGGGCGGTAAACGCCGGATGGGTAGGCAATGTATTGTAGTGTGGTGCAGCGAAGCTTAGCGGGTGGCCTACCCTACGGTTGGCAGGGGTCCAGCCCACACACATTTAAACGGACTTTTATCAGGGTGCCATTGAAGTTGAAGTTGAAGGTATTAGCTTTTCAGAATGTTTGACCGTGGACCGAAATGTTCACTTGCTGTCCGAAATAAGTAAACGCCTCGTGGA